TTCTTTAAAGATTGAATGTCCGAATTAAAATTTAACTAGTGAAAAGGCTAAATGGTTTATATAGTTAAAGACACCAATGATGTGGCTAGATAGTATGATAAGTATTCTTTACATTTATTCATGGCGTAAGCTTCTAGCCATATTATGACATTGTTTGCGACAAACAAACACATACATATATAAAATTTAATAAGAGAACAAATATGACATTGTCCAAAGACCTTTGGATCAAACATTATTTTCTTGGATGAACTTTTTTTTCAATATTATAAAGCAATGATCTCTATGTATAGTGAATTGGAGAGGACTAACACTTTCAGATAGTTTGAATATATGTTGATATATATTATTGGAGATAAAATTCTTGAGGTATTGGACTTATTCAAATCTCATCTATTTTTCAGTGGATTAAAATAAAACATATTAAATAATATGTTGGATCTTCATATTTATGAAAATTTTGATATTATAAGACTCGACTGCCTCTTGCATTCAATTACATACCTTACAGGTATAGATGAATTTATTTTGCAAGTGCTTCCTTATTACTTGAATTATTAGGGTTATTTACCTGCAAAAGTAACTATTATGATTGCATATCATCGACTTGACAAAAAAAAGTAAAAGTTACATTTGATTATATATTGTTGCGTCCAAGAGTATTCGCGGTGGTAGAGAAATATAAAGTTTAACGTCTTAGCGTTGTACCAAAATATGGCACGCAATCAGAAAAGAGAGTGTGTAGCATTCATGGGAGACACCAATATATATTTTTATGTGGAAAACCCCTGAAAGGGGGAGAAATCATGGGGCCTAGCTCAGTTTGAATGAATCCACTAGTATTGCAGTTGATTACAAATGAGGCCCTTTATTGGAAGAATGCCTTAGCTTGATGTACATTTTATAGAGTACATTACACGATGTGAATACAAAGAATCATTATTGACGTGTTCGTTTGGTCGGGAGGACCATAGTCTGGTGACGAAGGTCAGAAAGACTGTAGTCTGCAGACGACGTAAGTCAAGAGGACTGTAGTCGGCTGGCGACGGAGGTCAGAAAGACTGTAGTCGGTGGGCGACGTAAGTCAAAAGGATCGTAGTCGGCGGGCGACGGAGGTCGAAAAGACTGTCGTCGGCGGGCGACGTACGTAAGTCAGGAGGACTATAGTCGACATGCAACAGAGGTCGGAAAGACTGTAGTCGACGGGCGATGGAGGTCGCAAAGACTGTAGTCAACGGGCGATGTAAGTTAGAAGGACCGTAGCCGGCTGGCGACGGAGGTCGGAAGGACTGTTGTCTGACGACGAAGGTCAGAAGGACGACGTCAGGTAGAAGTCCAATAATGGAAATAAATTCATCTTCGGATAGATGTCCAGCGAAAGTCTGATAACCGGTAGAAGTCTGGAATCAGGTAGAAATTTGGTGATGAGTGAAGGTCTAGCATCGGGTAGAAGTCCGACGTCTGTTGGAGGCCGAGGAGAACTCCGGTATCACTTGGGCAGAGTTTCGGTGTCAGGGTGGAACTCTGTAGTTACTTGTGAAGAATTTCAACGTCCCGTGGAAGTCGGGCAGAATTTCGGTGTCCCATGGAAGTTAGGCAGAATTCCGACGTCATTTGGAGTTCTGGAGGAACTCCGGCAGTGGTCGAGGAGGAGTCTCTTTCCTCCTATTATTCTCTTCTCCTCTTCTTCTTGCTTCTCCTTGCTTCGGTCCCCCTCTCATGAGAAATGAAGGGTCTATTTATAGATTTTTTTGGAGTGGCATAACCCGTAAATAGATGAAATATCAGGTGCAAATATGGAGTGGTTCGGATGAACGGCCGATATTGAATCCTTCGATCGTGGATTGTTTATCAGTCATTTGAAGGTCTTAATGACTTTGGAATTTAGCGATATTGGGATC